TACCAAAAACAATACCCAAAATTCTGCCAATTTTCAAACCAATTAAACATACCAAACTTTAGATTATCATGGTAACTAGCCTAAACAAAGAACAACATAGGCAAAATCAATAGCCTCCCCGGAGTTTAAATAAAACATTATTGCAATTATTTTTTTAAATACAGAAATTAAGTAGAACAATACATAAGTTTGATTAAGGAAAAAGTATGCCCATATAAAAATTGCACAAGAGAGTTAATAGAAAAATTCAATGCCCTGCTGATATTTATTTGCGTTTACTCATACCTTATGATTACACTTCCTTTTTTACACTTCCTTTTTTAAAGTTTAGAATCAATTATCATGATTCTACAACAAAACAAAATCTGTTTAAATTAGTTTGAAAGAATTAGAATGGAAAAACCTGAATATTAGAATGTAAAACCTGAATATAAATATAGTTTTAAAAATATTTGCGATATTTGTACCTAAAATTATTCCCTCACATTATACAGAAATATGCCCAATACGTGATTAGAAATGCACTTACTGTAGGCCTATGTGATCTTGGAATACGCATCTTGGAGTATAAAATGAACTCATAGATTCAAATTATATACTGTACGTTTTCTGACTTGTTAATAGACATGTATTTTATTACTTCGATTGATTTGAAATGAGCCGTATGCCGAAAGGAGAAAACCTCAATTGTTTTGAAACCAATAACATACTTTATTACCTCATCCACAGCACTCTACCCTTCATAGTCTGAAAGCCAAATACACTATAAAATGCTTTTGATATAACAATAGAAAGGCCTATAGGCAACTGTGTGATGGTTCAGTAAATATTCTCATAGCAACCTCATGGATTGCACAAGAGTATTCTATATATTCGTATCATAGTACAAATGGATCAATAGCCCTACTTTTGGAATGTCAACAAATTAAATTGAATTGAAGCGTCCCTTTGAATTTATTTAGTGTCGTTTTCATTAGTGAAGTGTTTATGTAGGCTCCCACGATCCACTACAAATGTATTTTTTTGAAAACCTATTTCTAAAGCAATTGAAATATCAACAGGCTTGCGAGTTGGAAAATACACTGTAATGCCTGAGTGTGCTCTCATGGGCAAAGCTCTACAACTGTGTAGGAGACCTTTTTTTACTGTTGCTCGGTGGGGGGCATTAAAACGTTTTGATAAAGCCTCAACGCCATCGATTGGACAATGAGTTCGCTGTTATTTTGGCTCAGATTGGCCTTAGACCAACATAATTCCTGGTATCTAAATATCTAAACAATAAATAAATTTGATTACTTAACCCAGATTGAGCACTAATATGACTGTTTTCTGCCGTTTTTATATTGGTATTTTCAAGTGTTCTAAAAGCTGTAGGCCTAAAATATTATGAGGAAGTAAATTTGTTGTCCATCTCTGATTTTATTTTATTTATTTATGTATTTATTTATTCATTTATTTATTGTGCTAATAGTCTATTTTTATTGTTGGGATTGTACCTTGGTTGATAATGCTTATATTGGCCAAAGCTCACTTACATATAAATCATTTCATATTGCATGCTCCTAAACTAAATTTCTAATTTGCTACATCCCTATATCTCTTCCAGAAACTTCAATGGGGTCAGTGAGCTTTATTCACATAAAGGTTTTTGGAATTTCATTTTACTAAATTTCTTGAGGGTGGCGGCTGTTCCATCAAAGACGGAAGGCCACAATAACAATAAAACAATTTTTATAACAATCAACAATACATACACTTAACTTACCTTTTAATATGAAATCCTTTATCCAGCATTTCAAGTTTAAAATACAAAATACAGTACATACAAATATGTCATAAAAATTTAATTCTATCTTTAGATTATTGTATTGTATACAGTACAATATAAAAAGATAAAGCAATCAAAAAAAGATATTAAGATGCGAACAATTTTGGTCTCTGATTCTCCCGTCGGGATAACCAAAAGTAAAATTTATTACTGTCAATGTGGCTCTCCATGCGATGTTTGGCCTATGTATATGCTTAGAAATTTAATATATGCAACTCTACTATACATCAATTTGGAAAATAAGGAGACAATTGTAATTCAGTGAGTGTTACAAAAAGCACATAGTTTTTTAGATTAAGATAGTTGATTTGCATGGATCCAATCAGTTATTTTAAGAGTATAAAATGTATAAAATGATTCAAAACTGTACAATTTGTTTGAGTAAATATGGCCTCACTTTCTCTATTTGGAGTCACTTTTGTTTTATTTTATTTGAACATAGTCAGTGCACCTTCTGGCACAATTTGTTAATTACATATTATTAATAATAAAACTACATACATATTATACCCTAGTAGCCAGACCAGGTTTGTATGCACTTTTAGGTCCAGAGAATTTGACTTCAGAAATTGGTTTAGGGTGGTCCAAGAATCATTTTTGGCTTCTTAAAACATTTTCAAAAAGTTGGCGAAAGGTCAAAATGTCAGGGTCAAATGTCATAGCTACAGGGTCGTCATATCTCCGCAACCACTGGTGGTAGAGAGTTACCTTTGGTACTTATTTGTTCAGAACATCCATGTTTCTATTTGCTTTAATAGAACATTTTGTTATTATTACTCCGCAACCACTGGTGATAAAGAGTTAATTGTGGTGTCAATATGTTCGGAACATTAATGTTTCTATTTGGTCTAATAGAAAAGTTTGCTAGAAAATGACCGAAAATTATGTTTGTGACCTTTGACATGTTTCAAATATCATAGTTATAGAGTCCTTATTATCTCCACAACCACTGTTGATAGCCAGAGTTAACTTTTGTGCCAATTTGTTCGTCATTTAGGGGGATTTAGTACTGATCAGTCTTGGTATACACAATACAATACAAGTATAATCGTTTTGACTGTAAAATTACAGTATCTTATTCCTACATAAGCAGGGGCGCCGAGAGTTCGGGGCAGATGATGGGCTGATAGATAAAAATCTATTTTTCTAAATTAAATAAATACAAATTATTAAGCGTATACAGTGTACAGTACATTCATCCAGTATTCATTCCTTATACACATCTAGATGTGTATTTATTATTATTATTATTATTATTATTATGTTGTGATGATGTTGTTTTTACTGTTCTTTAATTTTATTAAAGAGGGCCCCTGAATGTCAGTTAACCTACTGGGCTAAACTAGAAGGGTTACCCTCTTTATAGATGGTTGAAATAAAAAAATTTAAAAAAATATACCCACTCTGACCCAAGACCCCTGTTACACGCCTGGTGTTAGCTCCAATGTGTGCCCTTGTGCGGACAGGAGATGTGCCCCCTCTGAAGCTGGAAACCTTGTTTTTGCAAAATAAATTGATGCAATTTGCTGTTATAGGCCTAATCAATAAATTCCTCATCAACCGATATAACCTTAAACATCTGTCTCTTATACACATCTAGATGTGTATAAGAGACAGATGTGGCTCTCTTTGCAAGCACATCTAACATCTAAGGAAAGAAGAGCTTAGATTGGTACCAGATAAAATAATTTTGTTATCAACATTAATACATTATGCTAATTTTCATCTTTGTAAGCGCATAAGGCAGTGCGAAGTGAAGCACTTCCAGACATAAAATTTAAATATAATTTTCTTTATATCTTCATTTTTTTTTAAATCGAACAATTTGCGGACTGAGCCCTCTTGAATCCGCAACTGGGTTCTTTCGCAGATGGAGGATCTATAACACCTTAGCTCCACCATACTTGGGGCTGAGGTAAGAAAATTTGTGATTATGGCACCTCTATAGATGGCCAGAAAATGCAGAGTCCCATACTTAAAATTTAGGCTCCACCCTCTTGAATCCGACACTGATTTCCAAACAAAGTCGAAGTCGAGATTGCTTCCACAATCTCAATGAATTGTCAATCATGAGGTGTATCCTTAATATGGGTATTCCCCGACGAAACCTTCACTTTTCCCACGATGGATAAAAATTATCTTTATCTTTAAACTACCTTTATAGTAGCAACAGAAATGATAGGCCTACTCCAACTGTGGCGGGTCCAGCAAGTTGAAATACAGGGACCCAGGGAGGGCCTTGTGCAAATGGAATGTCCACCCACCTTAGCCCACAACTGTTGGGGCTGAGGTAAGAAAAAATTATGATTATGGCTCCCCTAAATGGTCGGAAGTGGCACTCTCAGATTAAAAGTTGAATACAATTTTGTCTGTTTTCTCCATTTTTTTTACAACTTTGAAAAAAAATGAGGAGGTTGGGGGCCTGTGCTGACTGGGTTCCCCCTTGAATCCACCACTCTTCAAAATAACACTTGACATAGCTTATCATTTTGTTTCACAAATGACTAATGCCAAGCAAAAGATTTTTTTTTTTATTTGAAAGATTTTTTAAATATTCAACAGTTTTTACAATCTATAACACATTAACTACAGTGTACTGTAATTTCTGTATAGAGAATTTAATTTAAAAATTTGCCTAATTAAGTATCTTATTGTTTCGTTAAATTAAAGGGAGTTTAAATGTGGTTATATTACAATAGTTTGAAGGTTTACTGTAAGCCAATCAGTTACACTTACTGTACATCTTCATGGTTAGCATAAAGAGCGTCACTCCATAAAGAGGGCCCCCCCCCCCCACATATGCCTAAATATTTAATTCATGAAAGTGGGCAAGTCCATTTTTTTTCTCATGCTTGAGGGTGGGTTTCAAGGAAACTTTACAGACACGCGTATACAAACGTCAATCAACATTTGGTTTCTCAACTCAAAAAGGGAACTTGTAATGAAAATGAAAAAAAAATCTACATTTTATAATAATAACAGATCAATTTATAAGGCACAAATAAACAAGGTCTTTATAAAGCAACAAATAATAACGTAGAAGTGGTTTGGCGAAGTGGGAACGGTTTGGTTTCCCAACCTCGAGGTCAGGGTTTCAATCAAAGTGCAAGGCACTTTATCTACATTGCTTCTCTTTACCCAGGAGTATAAATGGGTACCTGGTAGGGTTAAATGCCAAAATGCACTGACGTAGCTGCTGCAACTATATTGAACAGTTTGTGTTCCATAGGCGTTTAATCCAATGACCGGGGGTAGTAATGTGAAGCGCTTAGAGGCCTTGTTGGCATTAGCGCTATATAAATATAACATACAATAATAATAATAATAATAATAATAAATAATAGTAATAAAAAATAATAGTAATAAAAAGTGGGTGGGCCAATTGCATTCAATGGTATCTAAGTTGTAACCTTTAACTAACTTCATGGATGTCATTGTCTCTCTTATATCTTGCATCTTGTACTGATAATAAACCATTTCAAAGGAGATGTTATTTTGTTATTCCAACACTCTTGGACCATTTGCATTTAAAACAGCACCAGTTACAATGTGCCAAGTCAAGATGATGAAGCAATGGGGCAACTTTAAAACAGAGAACACAATGTTGTCCCTTAATGTCACTGAGATCATTATTCCTAATAATTAATTCTTTAATTTTATTTTAAAATTATATACTGTACACATAGTAACTAATTCTAAAAACAGCTGACAATTACAGCCATTCACAAATACCACATTAGGTTTGCAAGTATGTGTACTTAATATTCATTAATGTTACTAAGATTATTGCCACAAAGCATAATAATTTTTAAGACATAATTGTCACTTTTCAGATATCTACTAATCATATCATTAACATTATCACTTGACAACATACAACCATTTAAATTTAGGCACATTAAATTAGGTCCAATCTTCAATAAAGGGAATAGATTTCCCCTGTGATTAATACCAGCATTAAAGCCAGTACATTCCAATGATTTACCTTCCTGTTGAACTTTATAAAAGTGCGTAAGTCAAGAGCAGTAAAGCATTATGGTAAATCAATTACTGGTCTCTATATATATTTTCAGAAAGGAGTGCGTCGTTTCCTCTGTAAGAACAAGAAGTAACAATTGTAATCAATTCAATAAAATAACAATAACAATAATAATAATAATAATACAATAATAATAATAATAACAATAACAATATCAAAAAAATCATGGGAAAAACGTACAGACATTGTTTTTTCCTCATCACCCAATACCGGAATATATTTTCCCCAATAACAATGTTCCAATTCCACAAGTGGCATTATGAGTCTCAGTAAGTCAATTTTTTTTCTCTCGTTAATTTAAATTTAAGTATATTTGCTACCAAACGACAGCTCCACTCCAACCCATATAAAGGATTGTCATTCGACCAAGTAATCAACTAAAAATACACAAAATATTATTACAATTATTCTCATACATAATAATTTCACTACGTAAAATACTGTACCTTGGTTGAATGGCCTGCCTAAATTTGGAATTTTGCTTAATCTTCATTATCTACAAAATATTGAATATTTTAGTTACTGTCTTACATATAAATAAGCATGGAAAATAGGATATTATTTTCTCTTAAAATATGAATTGTTTCTGTAATTTATTTAAATTACCATGTTTACTAATAATTTCAGAGAGCTGTATCGTAATTTTATAATCCTATTATTATTGAATTTATGTGTGAGCATAATAGAAATGCGTACAAATAAAAGCCATGCCATAATTTTTAGTGCACTTTATCATCCACTTTACCAAAGATCCAATATCACAAAGATCAAAGATAAGAACATTTGTATAATAGTGAGGATACACATTTTACATGACACCATATTTTTTTTTATGTTAAACACCATCTGTTCTATTTATACAAGAGAACCAGAACTACTATTCGGTGGTGTAACTGGTTGTGAGGGGCCCTCTTACAAAAGTACAGTTGGGACCCAAATTGACATGCGATGTCAGCTAAGATGTGTACCACTGATGGGCTAGTTTAAAAGCAGGGGTTGTGATTTTTTATACTATTTTGACAATAAATCTTTCGTTTTTTGTAGTTTTTAACTTTTAGATGTTCCCAGAGGGCTGGACTGACCATAATAATAATAAGCATTTCTCTTCTTATGACCAAAAGTACCAAACCAACATAATTCCTGGTATGGAATAACAAAACAATCAATAAATTTGGTTACTTAACCCAGATTGAGCACTACTACGACTGTTTTCTGCAGTTTTTATATTGGAATTTTTGTTTGTTTGTTTGTGTGCTAATAGTCTATTTTTATTGTTGGGATTGTACCTTCAAAATACAACCATTTATTGGTTGACAATGCTTAAATTGGCCAAGTTCTACTTACATATAAATCATTTCATATTGCATGCTCCTAAACTAAATTTCTAATTTGCTACATCCCTATCTTCCAGAAACTTCACTGAGATCAGTGAGCTTTATTCACCGCTGCTATAAAGGTTTTTGGAATTTCTTGAGGGTGGTGGCTGTTCCATCAAAGCCGGAAGGCCACAATAACAATAAAAAAATTGTAATAACAATCGACAATACATACACTTAATTTACTTTTAAATATGAAATCCTTTATTCAACATTTCAAGTTTAAAATACAAAATACAGTACATACAAAAGAACAGTAAGTTATAGTTGTCATAAAAATTTAATTCTATCTTTAGATTATTGTTATTATTTTCGTCAGCAAAGGGTATACGTCATTAAAGCAGAAGTGTGGAACAACACCATCGATTCGCAATGACCATCTACAACGATATAAAAACTATAGAATACAGTACATTAAAATCTAAAATAGCATGAATCAATCAATAAATGTTATTCATTTGCATGAAAACTATACATAGGCCTATTCATATAGACAGGCCTATCTAACATGCAAATTCAAAAACCCTTGTCAGGTACTGCTTGTATACATATCTATTCATTCATACACATCTCTTAAAATAAAGGTAATTTTTTCAGAGGAGAATCTTTATTGCCAAGGCTCGAAGGAATATCAAGCCAATATTTAGGATTGCTAAAATAATAGAGTAAAACTGTAGGCAGGAAGATAGAAAGATGAAGCTTGATGAATACAAATATGAGTAGTACGAGTAGTACTATTCTGTGGAAGTAAAGGTCTTGTGAAGTAAAGGTATCGTCCCAGTTTCAACTTAAAATGAAAATGAATTTGTTAAAATCCGTAAGGTCGGATATTTTAAAAATTATTTGCTGGTGAAATATGGTGTTGAGTGCGCTAGTCGATTATAAATAAATCTAACAGCTTGTTTTTAAAGTAGATTTTCTAAAGACGCATTGAACAGTATTCTGAATATGTGCGCTATAGAAATCCTACTATCAAATAAAACTAGTAAATAAAAGCATAACCTAAATATTGTAAAATAAGTGTATCATCAATCAATCTAAATATAGCACAGAAAAAATGGTTGTATATGGTACGTGACATTTCTTGTAATATTTTTAGATAAATTTGGGTGAATGTCTATTTCATTTCATTTATTTTGCCGTATACAGTACAATATAAAAAGATAAAGCAATCAAAAAAAGATATTAAGATGCAAAAAATTTTGGTATCTGATTCTCCCGTCGGGATAACCAAAAGTAAAATTTATTACTGTCAATGTGGCTCTCCATGCGATGTTTGGCCTATTTATATGCTTAGAAATTTAATATATGCAACTCTACTAGTACTATACATCAATTTGGAAAATAAGGAGACAATTGTAATTCAGTGAGTGTTACAAAAAGCACATAGTTTTTTAAATTAAGATAGTTGATTTGCATGGATCCAATCAGTTATTTTAAAAGTATAAAATGTATAAAATGATTCAAAACTGTACAATTTGTTTGAGTAAATATGGCCTCACTTTCTCTATTTGGAGTCACTTTTGTTTTATTTTATTTGAACATAGTCAGTACACCTTCTGGTAAAATTTGTTAATTACATATTATTAATAATAAAACTACATACATATTATCATACATATTATACCCTAGTAGCCAGACCAGGTTTTTGTATGCACTTTTAGGTCCAGAGAATTTGACTTCAGAAATTGGTTTAGGGTGGTCCAAGAATCATTTTTGGCTTGGTAACACATTTTCAAAAAGTTGGCGAAAGGTCAAAATGTCAGGGTCAAATGTCATAGCTACTGATCAGTCTTGGTATACACAATACAATACAAGTATAATCGTTTTGACTGTAAAAGTACAGTATCTTATTCCTACATAAGCAGGGGCGCCGAAAGTTCGGGGCAGATGGGGGCTGATAGGTAAAATCTATTTTTCTAAATTAAATAAATACAAATTATAAAGCATATATACAGTACATTCATCCAGTATTCATTCAGTATCATCATGGCACGTACATACTGTAAGCATGGTTATAGATAATCAATTTTTAGAACAGCTGAACGGAGAGTTGTGCATTTTCCAGGCCCTACTCAATGGCGGCGGAACGTTTTTGAAAATTTAAATATAATTTTCTTTATATCTCCATTTTTTTTTTTAAATCGAACAATTTGCGGACTGAGCCCTCTTGAATCCGCCACTGGGTTCTTTCGCAGATGGAGGATCTATAACACCTTAGCTCCACCATATTGGGGCTGAGGTAAGAAAATTTGTGATTATGGCACATCTATAGATGGCCAGAAAATGCATACAGAGTCCCATACTTAAAATTTAGGCTCTCAGATTAAAAGTTGAATACAATTTTGTCTGTTTTCTCCATTTTTTTTACAACTTTGAAAAAAATTAGGAGGTTGGGGGCCTGTGCTGGCTGGGTTCCCCCTTGAATCCACCACTCTTCAAAATAACACTTGACATACTGTAGCTTATCATTTTTTTTCACAAATGACTAATGCCTAACGTCAAGCAAAAGATTTTTTTTTTATTTGAAAGATTTTTTAAATATTCAACAGTTTTTACAATCTATAACACATTAACTACAGTGTACTGTAAATTCTGTATAGAGAATTTAATTTAAAAATTTGCCTAATTAAGTATCTTATTGTTTCGTTAAATTAAAGGGAGTTTAAATGTGGCTATATTACAATAGTTTGAAGGTTTACTGTAAGCCAATCAGTTACACTTACTGTACATCTTCATGGTTAGCATAAAGAGCGTCACTCCATAAAGAGGGCCCCCCCCCCATATGCCTAAATATTTAATTCACGAAAGTGGGCAAGTCCATTTTTTTTTCTCATGCTTGAGGGTGGGTTTCAAGGAAACTTTACAGACACGCGTATACAAACGTCAATCAACATTTGGTTGCTCAACTCAAAGAGGGAACTTGTAATGAAAATGAAAAAAAAAATCTATATTTTATAATAATAATAACAGGTCAATTTATATGTGATTAATACCAGCATTAAAGCCAGTACATTCCAATGATTTACCTTCCTGTTGAACTTTATAAAAGTGCGTAAGTCAAGAGCAGTAAAGCATTGTGGTAAATCAATTACTGGTCTCTATATATATTTTCAGAAAGGAGTGCATCGTTTCCTCTGTAAGAACAAGAAGTAACAATTGTAATCAATTCAATAAAATAACAATAACAATAATAATAATAATAATACAATAATAATAATAATAACAATAACAATAGCAAAAAATCATGAGAAAAACGTACAGACATTGTTTTTTCCTCATCACCCAATACCGGAATATACTGTATTTTCCCCAATAACAATGTTCCAATTCCACAAGTGGCATTATGAGTCTCAGTAAGTCAATTTTTTTTCTCTCGTTAATTTAAATTTAAGTATATTTGCTACCAAACGACAGCTCCACTCCAACCCATATAAAGGATTGTCATTCGACCAAGTAATCAACTAAAAATACACAAAATATTATTACAATTATTCTCATACATAATAATTTCATTACGTAAAATACTGTACCTTGGTTGAATGGCCTGCCTAAATTTGGAATTTTGCTTAATCTTCATTATCTACAAAATATTGAATATTTTAGTTACTGTCTTACATATAAATAAGAATTGAAAATATGATATTATTTTCTCTTAAAATATGAATTGTTTCTGTAATTTATTTAAATTACCATGTTTACTAATAATTTCAGAGAGCTGTATCGTAATTTTATAATCCTATCATTATTGAATTTATGTGTGAACATAATAGAAAAGCGTACAAATAAAAGCCATGCCATAATTTTTAGTGCACTTTATCATCCACTTTACCAAAGATCCAATATAACAAAGATCAAAGATAAGAACATTTGTGTAATAGTGAGGATACACATTTTACATGACAACCATATTTTTTTTATGTTAAACACCATCTGTTCTATTTATACAAGAGAACCAGAACTCCTATTCGGTGGTGTAACTGGTTGTGAGGGGCCCTCTTTCAAAATACAGTTGGGACCCAAATTGACATGCCATGTCAGCTAAGATGTGTACAGGGGTTGTGATTTTTTATACTATTTTGACAATAAATCTTTTGTTTTTTGTAATTTTTAATTTTTAGATGTTCTCAGAGGGCTGGACTGACTATAATAATAATAAGCATTTCTCTTCTTATGACCAAAAGTAAAAGCAAATTTGATATTTATTGAATTGGTGTTTTTTATTTATCGGATTGACCATTGAACAATGTCAACAATTATCTTGTATATTAGTTTTATATACTTAAACTAAATAAAATATCACACCTGACATCATTAGACTATGCATGACCATGATCATGCAAAACACTTATCCGATAAATATGGCAGCCAAACACCTTTTAAAATAGTCCATTTTAAAAAAATGCTAATACTAAATGAATTAATAAAAAGTACATTAATAAATAAACCACAGTAATACAACTTGATAATGAAATATGTTAATTTTTGCACCTGTTTTGGGTTTTACTTTTTTGTATGTTTTTTTAATTTATTGTTTTCTAATCTTTTCTGGCTTATTTAAAAGCAAGGTCTCTCTCTATCAAGTACATTTGACCTCCAGGTCAGCCTTGCAACTTTGCTTAAAGATGTTTATATGGGAGTGATAGTACCTATACAGGCCTAAAAACTGCGATCAGAGCATGCCTTTGCTATGTTCACAGCAGACCGAAGAGATCCACATCTGATTTGGTCGTTTGGAGTTGGGTGTGTGTGTAATGTTCATGAGGGACCCTCACACAAACAGATTTTTTTTTTTAAAGAGCTTGACTTTCAGGGCATCCTATTCTTCCGGTATAACTCAAAAACAATAGACCTATTATTCTCACAAAAATGCCCTGTTCATAATGCTAAAGAATGGGCCCAGAAAAGTACCCAGGTTAGAAATGTTTATCTGGACACAGAAGGTAGCATGAATTAAAATAATGACCAATTCACAATTCATAGGCCTATTTTAAAACAATGTTGGTCTATTGCAAAATGATAACTTGTTCAAAATTTAATCTCTTATCACTGCCATAACTACACAAATTGAGTTGTTTATACGCCCATTAATAGATAAGTGCAAAAAACACAAACACATACGTGCAGGGTATCGTGAAATATAAACAATATGCAAAATGTAATATGCAATACACATGATGCAATAGGCTATCATTATATATAAAACCTACAAATTATTGAATACCACAGAGTTTTGAGTAACATATTGCTACTACATATTGTACTTGTGCATATAATCTTGCAAATATGGATAATTTTTCATTCCTGATGAATACATAGTTAAAGTTCAACCACATTTATTTTTTTAAATATTAATCTTTATCCACTGTCACAGAAGGGTATTGCTAAACCCTGCAAGCCTCTAAAAAAACACCGCAAACCCCATCCAAACCTTGTGATAGCGATTGAATCACGTAGTATAGGACTCAACTTGGTATCTCAATTTAAAAAAATTATAATTTTATGTTCGTTACAACCAATTTTGGGGGTAAAATCTTGATTTTGTTGTTAAAAATACACCGCAAACCTACAAAAACACAGTCTATTTTGACTCACTCTGTTACTTAAGATATAATTATTCATATTTCATAATTCTGATCATTTTTTTAAGGTACATATTTTTAGAAATGTAGTAGTTTATATTTTTTATTTTAATTGTATGAGTTACAATTGAAATATAACAATAATTTGCAATGCAAAAAAATTCAATTAAATTTTAAAATATTTCATACCTTCTTTTGGTGCCTGACCTTTTCCTTTTCTTCTCTGGAGGAGCATTTCCGAACTCTGAACAAGCAAATGAATAATTATGAGCAAAGTTAAATTATTATCATTTTTATTTATTCAGATATGCTCAGCAAAAATACAACAAACGAAGATTAAGTACATGCTCTTTGACACTGTCTTAGCTGATTTTCCACAAAATTTCAAGTTAAATAGTATGTATTGTGCAGGCAGTGTTGGGGCAGATTCATAGGCTTTAAAACTTTCAACATGTACATAAACTTTTTATGTATAAACTTATCGTAACAAAATGTAATGAATAAAAAAAAAATTTCTAAATAAGTAAATAATTTTGGCATCATAAAAATGTAGTCTTGCTAATGTTCTGAATAAAAAAACACAAGTATCGATCAAAACTGTATTTACCTAAAAAAAAAACCCTTTTTTTATATAACATTTCACAATCAGTTGTTTCAATAGGAATGATACGCAATGAATCACAATGTATTAATTTTTTCTGGTCAGCTTTAATTGTCAATTCAGAAGTAACTGAATAAAATATGGAAAAAAAAAGAATAGCACCACATACGTACGTACCTTCTTTGGGTACCTGATCTTTTCTTTCGTGTTTTTTTTTAGATTTTCCAATATCTGAACAAAAAAATAACATTAATGAACTAAAGTACATTATTTATATGTATGTACAGCAACACTAAATGGCAAATAAAAGCAACCAAAGTGACATAAAATAGTGCACCATTGGCCCTTTGAGAAAACTGGGTGTAAAAATATTTCAGCAGTCCCAACCAACAGTGGGCAAAAAGAAAAACATTTACAAGTTCATTCAGTTATGTTAAATAAGTTGGTTATCGGATAAGTTAAAAAAAAAAGATTGGAGGTATTTAAGGCTTAAGCAGAAAAACACTTTAAATCTATAACCAGATGTTGACAGAATGTTGTGGGCAATTTGTAAAATCTAAAGAAGTGAAATAAATAATAATTTTAAACCTTCCATTATAAGGCAAGAGTTTGTTTATTCCTTGTCTAGCGTACTTATTTTTTTTAAAGATCATTGGAGCGAAATAAAAATAAAATAAAATTTTGTTTTCTTTTTTAGCAAATAGTTTTGCCAAAAATATCGAGATGGAGGAGAAAATAAAAACAACATTTTATTGATGAATGTACAACGGGATGGTTTAAAATTAGTATACTGTGAAAGGTTCTTTAATGTATAGACTAAAAGTTAACTAAAGACTAGAGTAAATTCTTAGAAGGTTAAATGCTTCAGATTTATATAATTAGGAAGAAATATACATATCTTATTTTTGGAGATTTCAAGGCAGTGGAGGGCGAATAATAAAAATAAAGAAAAAGTTATATTTTTTTCTGAAATTTCCACCTTTTCGTGGCGGCGGGTGCGCTAATAGGCCAAAAATACAATTTTATTTTTATTCAAAATCATCAATATTTGCAGTCGGCCTGTTCGCTAAACAAGATATAAAAAAGCTTAGCCTAAACAAACCTTCACATAAAGCAGAGATTGCTTGGTGGAAATTGTTTTTCTCTAACTTTTTAATGAACTCCTTCATATTTGCTTCACAAATTATTTTTCTGTGCTCCATATCACTAATCAGACTCCAGCCATCTTTATACCTCTTTACTGGATTATTATAAAGTCCACTGATTTTTACTACATCAAACTTGGCCAGTGAGAATCCCAGATTCATCAGCTTTAGTCTGTATGGCTTGAATTTTGAAATTTTGATTTCCTTGATATTTGGACATGATGGTATTTGATCTTTAATTATCCGTTCCAAACCAAATTGCCGAGTTGCCTTTACAGTTTCATAGAGAAGCGTCAGATCAGATGGAGACAGATCATCAGAATCATAAAGCAATTGCAGCAAAGTCATCGTGTCAGAGGCATTTTCTAACAAATAGACATCAGTCGCATTGTCTCTGTACAACATTTTCAGCATGTCGATGTACCCACGGTCATCATACCATTCAGACACTTTTACCAGCAATTGTCTGAAGTCTTCATCAGAGATTCCTAAGAACCACAATGTTAATAAAAACGACAAGCCAAACCAGTCACTCGTCACAAATCGTGTTTCAGAAAAAATAGCCAAAACATGCTGGAATGTCAATTTTTTTAAACCTATTTAACCTGGCACTAAGCCAGGGGTGGGCATAAAAATCGGTTGGATGCCAAAGTAACTTTTAATTTAACACTTGTAACTTCATAATAGCCTGGGTGCAGTAGGAAATTAGCGGGAAAAAAGTAAAGGAAAATTTATTTTTGGTTTTTCTGAATCAGTATATCATATAGTCTCTCAGAAAAAAAATCCCCATTCTTAGAGCTTGGGCAACTTTTTTTATAGCACTTTGAAATTTTGACACGAAATATCCTATTTTTGACTAATTAAGATGGGGGTAGGGGAAATAAATGTATGTTTTTAGTCATTTTATACATATGCTATGTATATCAAATGTAACTAGAACTTGGCTAAATAGTTACTCTTCACTCTCGTTAAAAAATTTAATCGGAATGATGACGCCATCACAAAAAATTCCAAGATGGCTGCCATTTTGGCGGTAAAACATCTTTAAAATGTAAAATTAACTTTATTGTTATCAGAGCAATTTTAAAACAACATTATACATACAAAAATAAATGATTATGAAGAGGAGGACGACAAGAATGAAGATGAGGATGAGGGGTAGAGCTGTCTCTTATACACATCTTATAATATAATAATTATCAGAATACAAACCCACTGGGAAAAAAATAGCTAAATTTTGCTCTGAAAGACCCAACAATTCAATTTCTGGACTTGAAAAAAAAAATTGAAAAAACTATGGCATTATTTTAGTAACTTCTAGTTTTGTTATAAATGTTAACTAATTACTCTTTGCCATCTTTATCAAATTTGATTGAAATGATCATAATGCCAATTTCCAAGATGGCGTTTATCTTGGCGGGGAAAATGGTTATTTTTGTAAGATTATTATTATGCTCAAAGTATAAAATACAATCTTATCAAAGCAATGTACACATATAGAATATATATAAATATCATTACTTTAATAGTATTATACTTATTTATTATTGTTGAAATCATTATTAGTATTATTATATTATATATTACTATATTGTATTCTTGTTATTTTAAAATTATATTTTATTATTGAAATGAATTACATTGTTAGTACTGTTATATAATAATATTATTTATATTTTTATTACCACTATTGATCATCAATCATTACAGTATTATCATCATCCGTCATCATCATCCTCATCATATTCGTCATCGTCATCATCATTCTCATTGTTGTCTAATCATCATAATCACCCTTACTGTCATCGATCGTTGAAAAAATCACCATCATCATCACATCATACTCATCCATCGTCATCGTCCTCATCTTCATCACGTCCTCATCAATCATCTATCGTCGTTATCATCATCCTCGTAATTTTCATCCTCCACATACTTCATCATTTTCCTCATCATCATCCTCATCATCATATTCATCCTCATTCAACATCATCCTCGTCATCATCAATGGCGTAGCCAGCTATTTGCACAGTTGGGACAGTCCCACACTGTTTTTCTAATGGGTCCACATTTTAAAAATGTAATTTTTTACATTTTTTTTTTTACATTTTATGTAATTTTATGCATAAAATGGATCCATATTTCTCGTATTTAGCTAAAAATGGGTAAAATTTAAGAAAATGTGTCCAGAAATTGAATATTTTTGCGTACAATGGGTCCAGTCCACATTGTTTAAATTTACACGTAAAGTTGGTCCATCATCCATTATCGTCACCCTCATCACCATCCTCACCAATCATCGTTATCATCATCACCATCACCTTCATCCTACTAATCATCCTCATCCATCATCCTTTTCCTCATCATCATCAACCTCATCCTTATCATCAGTCATCCATCATTCATCATCATAGTCCTCATTATTATCATCATTGTCATTATCATCCTCATCATCTGCATCCTCATTACAATCATCATCTGTCATCATCATCCATCATCATCCTTGTCCTCATCATCATCAACCACATCATCATCCTTATTAATTATAGTTATCAATCATCATCCTCATCATGAGGATGATTATGAAGAGGAGGACGACAAGAATGAAGATGAGGATGAGGGGTAGAGGGAATGTTTCTCATCATTCGTCATTATTAACCTCATCAACATCATAATTCTCGTCAATCATACTCATCAACAACCATTATCATCAATCATAATCATCATCCTTATTTTCATCATCATCAAGCTCATCATCCTAATCCTCCTCATTATTATCATCATTATCCTCATCATCCTTATCAGCATCATTTTCTTTCTCATCATCATCCATCATCAATCGTCATCTACCTCATCATCTTCCTTACTTTTCAACCGCATCATCCTCATCCTCCTCATCATCATTCTTATCTTCATCACCATAATTATAATCATCATTACCATCATCCTCATTATTATCGTCATCCTCATCATCATCCTGATTGCTGTCATCATCATCATCATCATTACCATCATCATTTTCATCATTATCCAAAACATTTTCTTCCTCATCATTATCTATCATCAATCCTCATCTACCTCATCATCTTCCTTACTTATCAACCGCATCATCCTCATCCTCCTCATCATCATGCTTATCTTCATCACCATAATCATCATTACCATCATCCTCATTATTATCATCATCATCATCATCATTACCATCATCATTTTCATCCTTATCCTCTTCATCATCATCATGAGGATGATGATGATGGTGAGGAGGACGAGAATGAAGATGATGACGATGGTGAGTGTAAGAGGGATGATTCTCATCATTCATCATCATCATCATCATTCTCATCTATCATTTTCTATCGTTCTCATCACCATCATCACAATCATTATCATCAACAACCATCAATCATAATCACCATCATCTTCTTCCTCACCATAATCATTATCATCAACAACCATCAATCATAATCACCATCATCTTTTTCCTCACCATCATCCTCATCGTCTTTCTTCTCCTCATCATTAACATCCTCCTTATAATGGGGATTATAATGAGGATGGGAATGACAATGAGGAAGATGATGATGATAATAATAATAATGACATCAGTATTGTAAGAATAACAGTACTAACGCTAATCTTAATGTAAATTATAAACTATATATTTGTTTAAACGCATAAGAATAATGATACTACTATATTAATGATATTATAAAGTAAGAACATAATAGTATAATAATGATAATGAAGAAAAATGTAGTGTACAAAGATTAAATTTAAATAGGTTAACATTTCCTTTAATTTTGATTGTTGTAGTCTTGGAATTTGGTGTGTTGACGTCATCATTCCAAATTTGGTTGGGAGGTGGGAATTCCCGTCAGACAGGCCTAGAATCCCATCGTCCGATGCCACCACACCACAAATAATGATTTGCTTATCCGTAAAAAATTATTTTGATTGCCAATCCCTTATATTTTGGTTTTAAAGCAAAATTTTGGGCCATACTAAGCTAAAAAAAAACAAAAAAAAAACTCTCCCATAAGCCCGGGGATTTTTTTTTCTGGACTCTGACCGAGGGTCTAGTCGGCCCTGTGTTTGGCCCCACCCCATCAGATCCCCTTGGGCCACCAATGAACGACTATAATGGGTAACTATTTAACTAAGGTCCTGTCAGTTTTCACAGTTATAGAAAAAGAACCCTAAAAGTGACTAAAAACATGAACATGTTTCCCATACCCCGATCCAAAAATTGGTATTTTAAAGCAAAATTTCACTATTACTTTTTTTTGTTGGGTTAACTTTGTAATAGTTCATTAATTATATATATATG